TTTTCCCTTTCACTGTAACTGACATTTATCGCAATACAGAAGCAAGGGCTGTTTAAGATGCTTGATCATATAAGACCATTTCACGAAATGCAAGGAAACGTGATCAGCCACAACCTCAGACACCCACCGTCGACCGCATCGCAGCTTTCTGTATGAACTGCATTGACCGTTATTCACTTTACATCACTTCAGAACACTGACATAAGTTTCAACAACTCCTGTCCGTCTGCATCAGATATTTTCATGCATCATTCGATTTCGTAGATCGCGAATTCGCCTGCAACTTTTAACTGATTAATTGAGTACCTTTGGACTTGTTAGACTTATGAAACCCTACTACTCTGATACCAGGATTGCAACCGGTATTTGGAGTGAAGAGTTATTTGCGTTCGAGTTAGGATCATGAGTACAACAGGGATGCCCCTTGTCCCCAATGTTGTTCAAATTTAATGTTAACTAGACAAAAGGTGATTCCATGGAAGGATACTCTCCACCGAACTGACAATCACGAGCGGTGGCACACTGGATAACCATTGAGCATGCACAACGAATGCCCTCATCGATGAGGCATGCTTATCAGAATTACTCGAGACGCTAACATATGGTGTCTGTTCCCAGTGTTGTTAACGTGTTCGTTTGGGGGCTGGTTTGATGTATATGCATGCCTACTCCATTTTTAGATTCCATCTGGGAAGCACTAAGTCCTACACCATCCGGGCTTCCCCACTTTGTCCATTGTGTTAAGTTTCACCCCACTATTGTTATCATTTCTGTTGTTTCGCTTACTTACCTCTATGGATTCTCGAACGTGTTTTTTTTCTTGTACACCATGGTGTGACAGATGGCTAGTAGTACAAGAATAAACAGCTTACTATTTATGATATTTTCCAGTCCCCTGTCACAGCAACCCAGTGTTACGAGTATCGGCAGTCTTTTGGGCAATCTCCATGGCCAAAGTGAGCATCATCCACTTACTCAGGGCACTCCCGCTCCCGTGCCATCCAATACCCTCAATCTCGGCTTGTCTGATCCCCATAATCCTGGAAGTGTGCCCAGTCGAACTCCCTATACTCCAAACAGCTTGACCACTCCACTTCACGATCGAGATGGAGCTATACCGAAGCCGCAGTTGCAGTAAGGTTTCTTTATTTTCTCTGTGACATTTGGTCATCCTCAGTGCAAGTTTTTACATACATTTATTTAAGCAATAGTAAATGCTTAATACCGTTTCTTCGTTGACCTAACCCAAGTTGTTCCAATATTTTGATAAAGTACGCCTCAAAAAGAGTTATATCGAATAATTAGCTTTTCTTCATGCAGTATTTAAGTCTAGGACTGCTTCAATGATCGCAAGCAATTTACGCAGGGAATGTAATGTAATACGCTTGCATTCCTGTGTAATTGGGGCTTATTTGACGAGTGGTCATTTGTTTTTGTATTATTCTGTGTGTTGTGATGAAGATCATTGCTATTCGTCCCAAGATAAGCTCGGCTGCATATTTGCTAATTCTGTGAAAAAATCTGACAAATTTACAAAACGTTGGACCCTAATTAGGGTCATCTGGGATCAATACTAATCTTGCAGAGATTAATCCATGCTATTGCGTCTTACGGCAATATTCACTCTGTTCGTCCGTCCGATCTGTGACTTATGACTGGTTGAACTCTACTACCTGTGCAGTTAATTGGTACAATCTTTTTCTTGCATTGATCGATGTTATTTTTGAGTCACAAGCATCAGAGCAAAACGTGTACATTGATTTGCGACATGTTTTCAAGACCATTAAAAACCCGCGCTGCTGAAGCCGTGTCTTTTCTCTCGTGTTTTGGGAGGTCTGAGAGATTGATAGCCGACCGTACGTCCTGTGTTTCGCCTAGGTAGCTTCCGTGCCTAGAACTATCATTCGTTCACGGACTTCGTGCTAGTCCGCTGTTCTTGTGTTCCATTGTGCTACTAGTGCTACTGTGCTGTATCTTGTGTTCTTTGCACTTGTGGTGTTCACCTGTGATATAGTGCTGTGCGGCATAATCGTAGGCAACGGATATAAGCGGCGTAAAAAATAACACTGAGAATTCACAAACACCAGTCCTTTCATTATTGTTCATGTATGGATCGTCCCTACCCATGGGAGCTCCTTCTCCACTAAATTGACGCAACTTTCTGTCAAACAGTTTCCGTCTGTCCTCAAAAGGCACCACTGCGCCGCTGTTCCATCCGTTTCGTTCCGCACTCTGAACCCGACGGCTTGCCGTTCGATTCCGGGCAGGAACACAAAAATAATGTGCACCGGTGCATAACCACTGGAGTGCAGTTTGTCAGTCTTCACATTAAACTGTGAAAAGCCATTTATTGCTTTGAAGTTGAGTACTTTTCCGGAAACACTTCATAAAATGATTTACGGCAAAAGGGGTAATCACCATAGTTCGAAAACAAGAACAGCGACAAATTCTTCTTTCCATTGATGGAACCATAGTCAAAGTTTTATTATGGGCGATTTAACAAAGCTAAAGCTTATCATGCCCCATAGGATTTTTTCAGAATATTTTGAATAACCTCATAAAGAGAAAATAAGAATAATAACAATTTGCATGATCACTCACGGACGTTGAAATTTTAAGTATTCCAGTTCTTTACCAAGTTGCGATTTAAATAGTTCAACTGTAGGAGCACACACTACATCGGATGGAAGAGAATTCCATACGCTGCACACTCTGACTGCAAACGAGTGATGCCGTCAGTCAAGGTGACTGTTCTGGGTCTTCACCTTTAGTGGATGTCCCCTGAGATGTTCATTATGAGATAAAGTCAGCATAGAACGGCAAGGGTGGTTAGGTTGATGCAGTATGTGATATGCCAAGATTAGGTCCCCGAAGTCGGTGGTATTGAGATGAGTAAAGTTTCAATATTTGCAGTCTTTCGAAGTATGACTTGTTGTACAGACCTTTCACCAATTTCGTTGCCAACCTTTGTGGACTTTCTAGAGCCTTATTGTCGCGGTTCAACCATGGATTCCATACTTGAATAGTGTACTCCGTGTGTGGCCGAACGAACGTTGATAACAAGCGTGGGAACAGTGCTCTTTCGAACTGCCCGAAAACACGTCTGNCTCTGGCACAGTGCGTGGAACATCCTATGTCCGCCTGTACCATAACTCCCAAATCCCTTTCATCATTGGCTTGCGGTAGTATTTGGTTCCCCAGAACATAGGAGAAACGAATCTTATGCCGTATGAAAATAACTCTGCATTTGGAAACGTTGAACTCGATGTCATTAGCTATTGACCATCGGTGGGCTGCATCGATCGTTTGTTGGAGTGCTATATGATCCTCAGGATGTGTTACAATTCTCCAGATCCTAGTGTCCTCCGCAAATAGCAGTATATTAGGCCTAAGGACATATGACAGGCCGCTTATAAATGCCAGAAAGAGATAAGGCCCCAGTACGGATCCTTGAGGAACCCCTCGGGTAGCGGTGATAGGTTCTGATAAAGAATGCCCAACACGAACTGACATGGTCCTTTGTCGGAGAAACTCCTTGATTCAGTCCAGAACCAAACCTCTTACTGCGTAGTTGTGGAGTTTTCGCAGTAGAATTTAGGGGTTTACTCGATCAAATGCATTGGAGAAGTTCAAATAAACTATATCCAACGGCTGGCCTGCATCAACGGATTTTGTCCACTCATCCCGTGCAAGAAGTAGATTTGTGGTGCACGAACGCTTGTGTCGAAATCCGTGCTCATTTGGAGACAAAAGCTTATGTTTCTCCAGATATTCCATCAACATATCTCCCNGAAGTGTACGAGGGCGGCAGTTGGCGGTATCACTGCGAGGTCCCCCTTTGTAAATGGGTGAACTCACCCCTTCTTTCCATGACTGCGGAATTACTGCCTCGTTGAACATCCTTTGGTAAAGAACAGCCAGAGGTTTGGAAATGTTATTGGCTAGGGACATCACAGTGCGGGGATGCATCTTGTCTGCTCCTGGGGGTGAATTCTTACGCTAAGTTAGTAGTTTTGCTCTAACCTTCTCATTTTCAAAAGCCATGTTATCCATTGACGGATACGGTATACAGGGTAGTTTGTTTGGAATCTGTAATGCTTCGTGTGTCATTGCAGTAAACACCTGATAGAACTGTTTTTTGGGGAACTCTGCTGCTTCTAGAATAGTGGTTGAAACGTGTCCAGACGATCTCAATGCTGGTATTCCGCATTTCACCTTCCTTGTAGAGTTGCTATGTTTATAAAACAATTTTGGATCAGAAATGAATTTTTGAGCCAGGGTTTCTTGGTATGTCAATTTGTCCTCTCGTATAAATTTGGTACATTGATTTCGCAGTATGGAATAATTATTCCAAGTTTCGATAGATGGACTTCTTCCGTATTCCCGCCAAGAAAAGCTCCTTTGCTCTATCCATTTCTTTGTTCGGTTGCGAATGAATAAATGACGAGTTTAAGATTTAGCGCAGGTTTTTATACATGTTGCAGCCGTTACAATTTCGGTAAGATAATCAATGAAGCTCTTACATGCCACCAAAGGATCATGGTCGTCTTCTGAGCAGACCCATTGCTTAAGTATTGCCAGGTTTTTCAGCTTTTTGTAGTCTATGATGGCACGAGTACTGCTCTTTTGGTTTTCTTGGATAGAGGCCTAGCCTATATAATTAAACTTTAATACGGCATGATCACTGCGTCCTAGTGGAGACATGACATTGACAAATTCTACCATCAGCTCTTTGTTAGTCAGCACTAAATCCAGTGTTGATGGTACACGACCTGCTCCAAATCTGATGGGTTCTGTAACGTTGTACAATGGGTGCAATCCAATGAACTGAGATAATTGTCTCTCGAATGGCTGGCGGGAAGTCCTCGTTCTGATGAGATTGGGGCAGTTAAAGTCATCCATCATGAGGACATGGATGAGCTTTAGTGATAATGCATTCCTCATGGTTTGCAACAAAATCTCGTTGTCTGAGTCTGAAGATGCGGGAGATCGGTACACAACACCGATTAGACACCTACCGTTTTTCGAGAGTCTTACTGAACACCATAACGAATCAAGGGGCTGCGTCGGGAATATCAAGCTGTTCACACTGTAAATTGTTTCGATGATAAAGCAGCACTCCACCGCCTCGTGTAGGACGATCACGTCTGAGCAGCGACATTCCTGATAGACCCAATTCCGAGTCGAGAATGTCGGTGGTCAGCCAGGTTTCAGTAAGGGCAACAATGTCAAATCGATTAGTTATCCAGCGAAGTTCAGTCTCGGAGAATTTGCTAAGGTAAACTCATGCACTGGTATAAAAACATGAAAGATATTTTCGGCAAAGAAATCTATCTGGGTATGTGGTGTTATTTCTGCCGACCAACTTGGGGTTCGCTAACAGTTTTTTTGTAGAATTGGCTTCGTTGCTAGTCGAGGAAGGTGGCGTGTTAGTATCGGTTTCCGTTTTCGGACTTTGCCGGGATCCAGTATTATGTGATGGTCTTAGGCGTAATTCCGGCGGACCCCTTTTTCTATTATCCTTCCACGACTGCAATACGAAGTTGGCCATTTCTGGCGTTCCGAGGGTCACTTTCATTATCCTCGGGCCGTTCCCGTGATAGTTCGGTGAGCCGGGTAGACGACTAATTACCTTAGTAAGAACCTGGGTACAGTTAATTAGTTCTCGAATGAAACTACATTCCTTGCGATCGTTTTGTTGGCGTAGGGATTCGTCTGGATTGTCCAGGTGGAGTGCTCCATGAATTCGAATTTGTTTTTTGATTGCCCTGCGTTTGTTGGGTTAGTGCGGTATTGTGTACGCTCTGTCCAGGGCCTATCTAGAAGTATTCTTGTTCTGTACGAATCTTTCTTAAGAAGGTAACTGGAGTGAACTCTTTCCAGGTCCTTCTGGTCTGCGAATGTTACGTAAGCCTATCGTGGCTCCCCAGCATGCGGCGACAGTGAATGGTGAAACAGCCGCACTATTCCAACTGGGTGGACGTCGATACCCATTTGGTTGCATAAATCAGCCCAGCAATCAAGCTCCTCCACTTATTTCTTCCTCAGTGTATTTGTTGTGGGCTCTGGCACGTTGGCGCAAATAACTGTCATTTCGAGGTTCTAAATTGCTTTTTTATCTTTGGCACTGGATTGTTCTCCTGGATAATCTGAGCTTTAGACTCAATGATTTGTGCCGACTCTTAATCTCTGGCATTATCCTGTACTGACTTTGCTTCGCCGTCGAGTTCGAGACTGGGTATTGGCATGTGTGTACGCCGCGATCACGTGTTCAATCCTGTTTAATTATTTTTGCTTTGCTGAAAGAAAAAAACAACCATGTCATAGTAACGTGGGTCTTACTACTCGGTCGACTTTGGGAATTTTGATCCAGTGTGTCAGATGCGATCCAATTGATAGTGTGTCGTGACTGAACCTGCTACCTGCCACCGATTTTCGCATTTTTGATCAACTGATGTCAAGGAACTACGAAAAACACTATTGCCTGATGTACTTTATGTCGCTAATAGGCGAATACTTAACGGAAAAAGCCGTCTCCAACCCTAAAAAAATGACGGTGACTTTTTACATTCGTATCTGAGACTTTTGAGTTAGAATAGGATTATCATTGTTTTTGATTCTTTAAACCATCGGGATGTTATCCACGTTCTACTGTCTTGCATATACCAGTATGTTGACCCCTCTCTTTCCCCTTCATGTGTTTTAGGAACATTGTTTGTACCGTATATTTGGGATGTAAATTGGATCTAAAACAGATTGCACTCAATGCCCGTAACGCAGAATACAATCCGAAGCGGTTTGCTGCCGTGATAATGCGCATTCGCGAACCTCGGACCACGGCACTCATATTTTCTTCCGGAAAAATGGTGTGTACAGGAGCCAAAAGCGAAGAACAAGCTCGACTGGCCGCTAGAAAATATGCCCGTATCATCCAGAAACTTGGTTTTGAAGTAAGAGCTCTCAACTTCTTCTCGAGAGTACATTTCGATGTATTAGTTGTTAGAAAACGAAGCACTTGGCTGCTGATTTACAGGTTTCAGAAACTCAAACAATCACACTTAACCTGTTGTGGATGCAGTAAACAATTCTTTTCCCGTCCTACTTCTTTATTTGAACAACGGCCAATCCTCTTTCTCGTGCTGTTATTGCTGCGGCATCTGACTCACTGTGATGCTAAGTGGTACTCTCGCAACGCGATATCGGCTTGATCGGTGTGATGTACCGCTCTCCTTCATCCACGGACTCAGTCAGTGGGATGCCATTGCAAACCATGTATCACATTCTGTCACCGAAGTTCACACATGTCCTCATTGTGGGCAACCTTAATTGCCCAAACCTAGCTAAATCAGTAACCTCTACAACCGTTTGAGAGGAAACTCGCTTAGTTTATTGACTCCTATCCACTTTACAATTTTGTGAAGAAACCAACTGGTCATCGTCGGTCTTGGATTTGTTGTTGACTAAGGAGGAATGGATGATGGAAACGCTTTCTACTGCAATACCATCAGGGCGCGGTGATCATGCTGTTATTATCATTTGACTACACTTGTTATGCATCTTTACCGCAAATTTCTATGGTTTGTTGATCACACCTAACATGGGTTTTCCTCAACAAACAGTGTAATCCCCTGGTATCGTGGCAAAAATTTACGGATGATCGCGGAAATGGTGAATCACGTGACCTAGATCAAACACATCTACCTAACTGGTTGAGAATCAGTAATTCACAGTCGAACAAGGAGGATAGTTCGCAGAGGAATATTTCATGAAGCGAATTCCACTGATCGCTGCTAAACATACAATACATACAAGGTTAGTATCCATATGTAGGGTGGACAGGCATTGGACCTATTTTGAGTGAGAGGAAAGGTAGACCTATATGGTCAACACAGTGCATAATGTAACTATGTATGCATATCGTTTCAAGTATTCCGGCCTGATAAGAAATGACAACAAGAACGCCACTGCTGTCGGTCCGCTGTCAGATCCCTCAATGTCTCCAGCCTACCAGTTCCTAAGTCTTTCGGTCCCCAACCTGGAAGGCTAGAGACACCNAAGCTGTGTTCACTTCTTTATGCCTCGTCTCCATTTCGTTTGTTGACCTTTACGTGGTTTCTTCCAGCCCGAATTAGCTACAGCGAATAAATCGTGGCGTGGCAGGCAACATCTGGGCATACGCGATACGTGCCCTCGTCTGCGAAGCGTATTAATCGAAATTCGGTGTGCTAGCAGGTTTATCCCTGATATATTTCCAAGCACACGACGTCTTATCTACAGATTACTAACCCGTTCGCTCCATCCTATGTGGGCTAAACTACGTAAACAATGATAGTCGAAAACTTCCAACCGATGGATATCTACTTGCAAATTGAAGGTCTCACAACTATAATGCAGAACTGGATGAGCAGTAGCACAATATACACGATCGCACACGAACCCACACCCTCCTGGTTGTAACAGCGGTCACCGGCTCGATTGGGCATCAAGGTGCATTGGGCACATTGTACGTTTGACCCCGTGTAACGGTTGCATGATCCGATGAACTGGACACCGGCCTCCAATAGGTTTCGGTTTTCACACACCGCCCCGCAGCCTTGCAGATAAGGCTTTGGATAGCCTGAGGTCCAGGTTGTAAACTTCATAAGAATATTCATCTGCTTTTGCCTAAGCAATCTAGGAATATCATGATTATATATGTATATATATTATATTATATTCCATATAGCCCCTTACTCTTGCTTATTCGAAATTATACTATGATTACCGATCAACGCTTTTTCACTCCAAACTTTGCGATCGACGATGTGATCCCGAAGTCG